AATCGAGTGTTTCATCTTCGTAAGCAAGCAATGTTATTGATCTATTAACACAAGAGTTGCGTGGGTGCATGCGTGTGTGGTATGACCTCACAAGGACACATCATAACGCAATTCCATCACATTTTTATATTATTATTATTATAATCCTTGGTAGAATCTAAAGTTGATCACGTTTTACTTCTTTTATATGCTATTATGTCAATATATAGATCTTAAGGGGTTGGTTTGATGGTCTAGATTTAATGTTTGAGGGTGTGTTCCCTCTGAAATTTTAAGTTCGAGTTCTATTAGGTGCAAATCGTTTTTGACGTTAGTTCATACTTTGTCCTAATTTTAATTGGGATCTCCGTAAGTAGACGGTGAGTTGTCAAATTGCTTGTAAGTGGATAGTGAGTTATCAAAAAAATGTCAATATATAAAAAAAGTAGAGATTCCCGCAAGTAGACGATAAGTTATAAAAAAAAAATGTCGACATATAAAAAAAGTAAAAATTCCCACAAGTGGACGATGAATTATAAAAAAAATATCAACATATAAAAAAAGCTACAAAAAAAGTCAACTTTTTGACATTTTAGTTTTTTTACACAAAAAAATTGGCTTTTTTGACACAAAAAAGCCAAAAAATTACAAAAAAACCAAAAAGTCAGTTTTTTATTAATTTTCCAAAACACCATTATGTAGTTAACCTTCCTCTTGAATGTGATGTGGGTTATATTGGAAATAATATTTTAAGGGGCATTTACTTAAGAGTCTCATTTTGTAAACTTATAATCCATTAAGTCCTAGATAAAATTATTTGCTTCTTCAAGTTCCATTAATTTTTAATAGACCAATTTACCCTTCTAACGAACTCCAGGCAAGCTGTCTTGATGTCGCATTCCCTCTTCCTTCCGTCCTCAAGTCCTCTATCGACATCCTCGACGGAGCTCCGTTGTTGGAAATCTAGCTCTGTCACCAAAACCACTGCCTCCTTCCCCTACTCAGATCTACGGTGTCATTGTCGTCGATAAAGATGAAGAACTCAAATCAACGAGTGGCTCACACATGAGGTTGAGGTTGTTGTTGATCTGTCCCTGAACAGATCTACCTCTCTCAATCGCCGCCGATCTGCCTCGTCACCTCCTGAAATCCAAGGTCTCTGGAAGGGTTGGGTGAAGAATTGGGTGGATCTGTGGCTGTTGCTTATGAGAGTCCACCAGAAGATGAGGACTTAGAACCGGCATTGGAGACTTGTCCGGAAGTTGATGAGTCCATTAATTGTGAGGTCTCGGTTTTCACTGAGTTCACAGATGCCACTGCTATTAAAGAGAGAGAAAGAGAAAGAGATATAGGGTTTTTTGAAATTACGAACATTTTCAGTTTATAATATTCTCAATTTTAATAATGAGAAAAATTGAGAAATTTCTCAAAACTGATAATTATAAATTTCTTAGTTTTGATAATATTCTCAGTTCATACTAGAAAAAAATTGAAAAATTTCTTAATTTTGATAATTATAAATTGAGAACATTCTCAGTTTTGAAATTGAGAACATTCTCAGTTTTGGAGTTAAAGGGCAAAAACGTCTTTTTTACCTGTAAATGGGACTTATTGGTTCAAATTTTTTTTGACAAAACCTAAGCTACTACCAAATATGTAGATAGGACTTTTAGGTAATTAATCCATATTTTAATTATTAAGAGTGTTTATAGGTGGGTTTGGCATTTCGTTTGGAACATTTTAGTCAAAAAGTCACTATAAGTTGTCATATCATTCTCTTTATTTTCTGCACATCTTTTCGTAAAAAGTCAAAAATTTATTAAACTAGTCTGTTCCCAAACGAGGTAGAATCAATTCAATTATGATCAGTTTCAAGGTTTTGGATCCAAAATCAAATCAATCATGTACCAGAACCAATCCAACCCAACTTAATGTAGTTCGGGTTGGAACCACGGTTTCACTATATTAAAAATAAATTAATCAATCAATAATAAATAATAAAAATAAACAAGTTTTTAACATTTAAATATAACACAAATAAATAGCAAAATATTATTTAATGTGAGCTAATACAAATTAAATCTAACTCAAGCTTAAACACAAGTTTATAGTTCTCCTTCCTTCATTCACCTAATAATTTATGTATCAGAAAGATTATTACGTGCAATCAAATTTATTGTAATATATCAATTCTGTGAAGAAATATCAATATAAATAAAATTTGGGTAAATTACACTGACATCTTCTGAGATTTATGTTTATTATAGTTCCTCCCCTCACGTTTTGAAAATTACATCTCTCTCCCTGAGATTTAAAGTTTCATTATAGATTTCCCTCCTTAACAATTTAATTTTTTTAAATACCAATTTTGCCCTCCCTAGGTAATTTACATTGACACCCCTCACATTTTAGAAATTACAATCCCCTCCTAAGGTTTAAAGTAGCATTACCAATTTCTCCATCGGTTAGTATTAGTTGGAAAAAAAATTCATTGAAAAAAAAATTTGTTAGTAAAATTTTTAAATTTCTGATTAAAAACCAACGTAAACTCATTTTTTGAATTTACGTTTTTTCCTCAAATTTACAAACTGAGACAATCATTTATAAACCAAAAAAATTATTAAATAAGTTTTTATAACAGTTTTTAAAATTTTTGTAAATATAAATTGAAAACTGAAAACGAAATGGTTATCAAACAAGTTTCAGATGATAAAAATGTCATAAAATTAACAAATAATTAAATTAGTTACTAACTTAAGAAATGACTTATCAAAAGATTCTTACGCTATGTATGGTTTGATTTTTATAATTTTTTTAAATTAAAAATTAATTTGGTTAAGAAATAAAAAATAAAAAATAATTATCATTTTTATATAATTTTTATCTTTCGAGTGGTTAGAAATAATTTTTTACAAATTAAATTGAAACAACCATACGTATGTATATAATCTGCCCAAAAGTTAAAATGATAATTATTTTTCACCCTTAAAAGATAATTATTTTTTATTTTTTATTTCTTAACCAAATTAATTTTTAATTTTTTAATTTTTTTTCTAAAAATCAAACCATACATAGCCTAAGAATTTTTTGATAAGTCATTTCTTACGTTGGTAACTTATTTAATTATTTGTTAATTTTACTATATTTTTACCATCTGAAACCTGTTTGGTAATCATTTCGTTTTCAGTTTTCAATTTATATTTACAAAAATTTAAAAAACTGTCATAAAAAACTTGTTTGATAATTTTTTTAGTTTATAAATGGTTGTCTCAGTTTGTAAATTTGAGGAAAAAACGTAAATTCAAAAAATGAGTTTATTTTGGTTTTTAAACAGAAATTTAAAAATTTTACTAACAAAATTTTTTTTCAATTAATTTTTTTTTTCAAATATTTTTTTTTCCAATTAATTTTTTTTAATGAATTTTTTTTCCAACTAATACTAACTCTGGGGGCAATTAGTAATGCTACTTTAAACCTTAGGGAGGGGATTGTAATTTCTAAAATGTGAGGGGTGTCAATGTAATTTACCCAGTGAGGGCAAAATTGGTATTTAAAAAAATTAAATTGCTAAAGGGAGAAATCTGTAATGAAACTTTAAACCTCAGGGAGGAAGATGTAATTTTCAAAACGTGAGGGGGGAACTGTAATAAATATAAATATCAGGAAGTGTCAGTGTAATTTACCCATAAAATTTCAAATATATATACATAGGCTCGGTTCTCGGTATGGTTCGGTTTAGACAATGCCTAAACCAAAAACTAACCCAATCATATCAGTTTGATGATTTAAAGACTCAGAATCAAACCAATGCACTCAAATACCAAACCAAACTAACCCAAAGTGGTCAGTTTGATTCGATTCTTCAATTCACTAGTTAATTTAAATCCTGTAATACATTTTTTGTGTTCTTTTCGTGTTCTAATTTTGTACTCAACTGCACAATACATTTTTTGTGTTATAATTCTTTGCACATAGTATTACTATTGCTATGATGGTTATTAACATTTTCACTGCACCATTTATGTCATAACTTTCACTTCATGTGTGCGTACCATAGATCTCATTCTTTTATCACAAAGTGGATAACATTTTTTTTTTGGTGTGCTAATTTTTTTAAGGGTGTGAACAGTCATGAACAATGCTAAGGAGTCGGAAAAAATAGTCTGCAAAATCACCACAAAATTAAGCATGTGTATCAAATTCATTTTTGGATAGGATAATTGGCTCAATAGTTTATGTAATTGTCCCTCGCAACAATGATTCATCCCTCCTTTTTCTCCCACCCCCTTTGACCCCCTCTCTCTTTCATTGGTTACATTTTCTTTTTCTTTTTCTTTTTTTTTCTGCTCCTCCAATCATCACCAGCCACGTGACAAAGGGGGTGAGGGGGTGACCCTCAAAAGGGAGTCCAAAGCATTATTCTTGTCCCTCGAGACAATCAGAAAGTAAGAGGTTCAAAATTTGAGTTGATGGAGCAATTATAGTCTTTTCATTCATTGTAATCTAACTTACTAACATTTTATTTTATGAAAAAGAAAAAGAAAAAGAAAAAAAAAAAAAAATCATTCTTGCTGTGACTCACAAGTCCATAATACTAAATTTAAATAAAGGAAAATGAGTGGGAGCACTAATTAGTGCTACCACTAATGATGTGGCAGTAGGTCCCACCATGAATGATTTGATGTTTTGGCATTGGTGTTGTATTTTTTTTCTTTTTTTATTGAGTGTCATGTCATTAGTGGTTATTTTAGAGTTCCAAAATTAGTGATCTCTATCATTGTTGTTAAATAAAATACACTGTATATTTTATTTTTAGATAATTTTTCTAACTACTTTTTCACTATCCCTATCATTTTTTCTTAAAGTAATCCAAAATATGAATGTTTTTGCATGTAGACACTACTTTTTTGTTAATAGCCGTGACGACACAACCAACTAATCAAAAATGGAGTAAAGGCCCTTTTCCTCTTCAATAAAAACAACTTTAGTGATGATCCCATTGAACCATAAAGAAACAAACTTTGAAGTAATATTAAAAAAACCCTCCAAAAAAGTGTAGTGGTGTGGTGGAACCAATAAACACGAGAGAAAGATTGAAGTAGTACAGTGTTTGTTTGTCTATTAATAGTGACTGAGATTCCAAGTTTGAAAGAAACAGGATCTCTTTTGGCCTTTTATTTTGATCACCATCTTCTTCTACTTTTGTTGTTGTTGTTATTTCAGAGTTGCTCTGTCTCAGTGCATTGATTTTCATTCTCTCTCATGGCTAGAACACAAGGACTCAACAAGCCATGTATACTCATCATAGGTAATGACACTCTTCACCTTCATTTTTTTTTTGCTGTACTAGTATGGGTTGAGTTGTGGGTGTGTCTTCAATTCAATCAAATTGTGCTTATAACCCGTTGCCTACCTATATGTTCAACCCGGTATTTGGTTTAGGGTCTATTTTGACCTGGTTTGATATTATTTGGATTGCGTATATGGGTTTGATGACCTCTATAACTTCTTGTCTGTGTAATTATCAAAAATAAATAAATATTTAGTTGAGGCCTATCACCACGAGAAGAAACCAAAATTTCCTCTAGTCTTTCCTCTCGGCCACTATATTAAATTATGACTAACACTTTATATAAAACCTAGAATCTTTTATACTCAAATTTTTAGGCTCTTCTGTCCCAAAACATTTACAATTATTAAATCATGTGAGAATCTTGAGATATAGACATCTTAAGAAGTGATTCTATGATTTAGAGTATTTTGTGACAGAGATACAAAGATTTGGATTGCGTATATGGGTTTGATGATCTCCATAACTTCTTGTCTGTGTAATTATCAAAAATAAATAAATATTTAGTCGAGACCTATCACCACGAGAAGGCACCAAAATTCCCACGAGTCTTTCTTCTTCCACTATATTAAATTATGACTAACACTTTATATAAAACTTAGAATCTTTTATATTCAAATTTTTAGGTTCTTCTGTCCCAAAACATTTACAATTATTAAATCATAAGAGAATCTTGAAATATAGACATCTTAAGACGTGATTCAATGATTTAGAGTATTTTGTGATAGAAAGACAAAGATTTGGGACAAAAAATCTCGTGCCTTGTAAAAAAAGAGCCACCTCATTATATTGAAATTTCTTGTAAAAAGAAACACCTTATTATATTCTCTATTTTCGTAGTGAAATTCTTTGCTCGTGAACGTTGATATAAAGTTAAATTATATGAATCTTTGTACGGTTGTTTGTTTGTTACATTTATTTTTTGTTCTGTTCATTTCAAAAACAACTATTTCTTGTTCTATTTTTCTTAGTCTGCTTGTTGTGAACAGTGATAGCTGGTATGGAGAGGTTTGCATTCAAAGGGGTGGCATCAAATTTGGTAACTTACTTAGCAGATGTTATGAAGATGAGCAACTCATCGGCTGCCAAGACGGTGAACAGTTGGTGTGGATTCACATCCCTGTTGTCTCTCCTTATGGCACCCCTTGCAGACTCTTACTGGGATCAGTATTCTACCATTTTATTCCCTTCTTTCCTCTATGCTCTGGTGACTAATTACTCCTCTTCTCATATTTTTTTATTTACTTTTGTATTTGTTAAATCTACTCGATATTGATGCATAATGTCAGAAATGATATATACACAAAAATAAAAAATAAAAAATAAAAAAAATAAAAATAATAATAAATATAAATAAAATTTAAGAAAGTGTATATGTCAAATTTTGGATAGCTTTTTGACGTTTTTTTTACTTTTTTTTTTTTTTCATTTTTCCTGTATATATAACATTGTTGTACCAACATTGTCCAATCATATATACATGGAAACAGGGTACTAGGTGATTCCAATTGGTTACACATACATAGGTCTAGGATATGAATATGTACAACTCTGCATTGCACAATTGAGAAATTTCTCTACTTCCTTTATAGGGTCTTCTAGCACTGACATCAACAACATTTCCAATCAACAAAACCAGTTCCACCTCATCACTTCTCTGGTCTCTCTACATGATTTCAATAGGCCAAGGAGGGTACAACCCGTCATTGCAACTGCTCGGAGCAGATCAACTTGAAAACGAGGATGAAACATTGCCTTCCAGCATAAATGAAAAGAATTCTGACAAGGGTTTGTTCTTTGGGTGGTCGTACTTTGGGATTTGCAGTGGCAGCCTCTTAGGTGCCACAGTCATGTCGTATATCCAAGATAACTTAGGATGGGGATTAGGATTTGCCATCCCAGCAATCATTATGGTTACATCAATTTCATTTTTCTCTTGTGGTAGCAAATTGTTCACGTACAAGCAGGCTAACAAGGGTGGTGATGTGAAGTCCTTGAAGAACATAGTTCATGCCATCAAAGGGACAGCCGTCAAAATGATGAATGTTCAATTAACCATGTCAAACAAATCCGATGTGGTTGAGCTAGAGTAAGCTTCCTTCAATCCGATTTGTTTGATCTGGGATATGCCCAATTAGTTTGTATTGTTGTTTTTGTGTAATAAAAGTAATTTATCAAAGAAAATAAAACAAAAACAAAATTCAACAGATTCTAAATTGAATTAGTATTAATGATGGAACTTTTAATCTGTCTATAGGCTTGAAGAAGAAAAACCGCTGTGTCACCAAGATCTTGATGGCAGCGAGGGCGTAGACAAGAGCTCTAACACTGGCATTCACCTGCCTGAAATCGCGAAAGTCATATTGCACCTCTTACCTACATGGACTACACTTCTAATGTTTGCAGTGATTTTCCAAAAGCCCATGACATTCTTTACAAAACAAGGTGTGACAATGCAGAGAAACATTGGGAGCAACTTCAAAATCCCACCGGCTATGCTACAGAGTGTGATCACAGTGTCCATAATCCTGTTAACGCCTTTATATAACATGTACTTCATCCCCCTCGCTCGCGTTGCCACGCACAACGAGAAAGGTATTGTTAGTCTAGCAAAATAACAATCACAATGTTAAGCGCACAAATTATAAATAAAAATACAAAAAATAATGATATAAACAGAAATTAAACTACAGTTGAGAACAATAGCGGGCAATAATAAAAATAGATTTATTTCATATGGACAATATTGTAATAGAAATATTGATTTGGACATAAACATAGAATTCATTCTCGAAACTCATATCTAATAATTGAAGAATTAAAAATTATATTTGTTATTTTTATTAAAATATCCCAACAGGTATCAGCGTGATGCAGAGGATGGGGATCGGAATGCTTCTCTCAGTCATAGCGATGGTGATTGCAGCGCTTGTAGAAACGAAGAGGCTCAAAATAAGTAAAAACACACAATCAGAAACAGTGCCACTTAGCATATTTTGGTTGCTGCCACAGTACATTCTGTTGGGTATTTCGGACATTTTCACCGTTATTGGGATGCAAGAGTTCTTTTACAGTGAAGTTCCTATACGAATGAGAACAACGGGGATAGCACTGTATACAAGTGTTTTTGGGGTAGGAAATTTCTTGAGTGCACTGTTAATTACCATTCTCGACTATTTCACAAACTCAAGAAGAGGAGGAAGACAAAGTTGGTTCTCTGATGACATGAGAGAAGCTAGGCTAGATAAGTACTACTGCTTGGGAAGTTCTTTAAGCATGCTAACATTTGTAATCTTGGGTAGATTTTACAAAAGTAGAATATGATTTGCTCAATGTAATATGTAACACATGCTTCATTTTCCGACCACTGTTAAGGTAATGTATATAGCTTTGTATAGTTTTTTAATAGTATTGCTAATATTTGTAATCTTATGCAGATTTTACAAAAGTAGATTATGATTTGCTTAAAGTAATCTGTGAGATACAGCTTTTAAGGTAATGTTTATAGCTTTGTATAGCTTTTTAATAGTATTATTCACTGTAATTGAAGTGAGCAAAATTATTACAAAGCAGAGGTCCCTGTCACAGCACCACCCCACCTTTTTAAAGTATATATTTCATTCACATTTATCTCCAAACAGATAGGTTTAATTTTATTTTTTGGTAACGTTTCTAATATATAGTTATTAATTACTATTTTTTTTTTTGGTATTGCAAGAATTAGAAATTTTCAAGATAAACGTATATAATTTTTTCACTTTTAAAAAAGGCTTTTTGATATAAAATAAAAATGAAATTACTAATACATTTTTCGTTTCTTATGAGTAGCCAAATAAAAAATAGATTTTTTTAATACCTTTTAATTTTCTTCTTATTTTCAAAACTTAACCAAACAAAAGAAAGGTTTTTATTTTTTATTTTTTATATATAATTTTTTGAGGAATAGGAAATAATATTATGCTTTGAAAGGAATTAACTTCATTCATTTCATTTCTATTCCTTTGTTTTTCAAATTAAAGATCACCGAAGAATTTGCCAACATAAAAAGGCCATATGAAGCAAAAATTGTGTCAAAATTCCTTTTAACTGCATCAATAACTTTTTCAATTAATGATCTAAAATAAATAATATTTTCCAAAAAGAAAAAGTAAACTTATCAGATTGGACTAATGGAGTCTACAGCTTAAAAGTAATTAATAACACAAAGGCATGGGGCAAACAAATATTTGTTAAGAATCCAACTTGTAATTTCATGGCTGGAGGCTCACTCTGGATCTAATTTTGTTGATCTGCATCATTTAACTTAGAGACTATTAAGTAGATTATTCATATAAAAAATTAAATTGATCGAATATCAAAATTAACTTTGATCATATCACATTTCTTTTAAAAAAATAAATGAGTGCGATTTTGAAAATAACTGTCGATGGATCCCCCACCCAGAAATGTGGATTCATTATTTCTTTGACAATAACATAATCTAATTCTAGTGACCTTCAAATGATAGTTTGCTTCGTAAAACAACTTTTTTTTTTTTTTTTAATCTGCCAGAAAAGGTAAACATTAGCCAATCTTGAATTTAGCTCTAAATGAGCGTGGTTCTATCACCATTTGTTATTTTATCTTTATTACATGACAAGTTGATGACTTTTCGAATATAATTGCAACACAAGACATTCCTCATATCTGCTAATCAAAAGCTCTGAAATTAGCTAAGAGTATAGAACTTGTATCCCTTCCATATCATCATGGTCTAAATCCCTTTTAATGATTCCGTATGAGAATTTGGCATACATAATGGCATCCTTATCGCCACTATGGCCAAGCCCTAGAAGATGCCCTATTTCGTGCATTGCAACTGATTCCAAGTCAACCTCATCCATGCTTGGATTAGTGCTCCAATTCTCATCCGCATCATAATGGAACCACCCGACTGTCGGTCCAACCGCATGAGCAAGAATGCCAGTTGGACCGTCAAATGGGGTTCCATCACCATGATGGCCACAATGGAACCCGATCATGATGTCAGGATTTGAACCTTGGGGAGCCTCTTCAAATGTGAAGTGACTCGCATCTTGCCATCTCTTGAAAGCCCGCGAGGAGACAGACCTCAATACTTGTTCTCCAACAACTAGGGCACTAGAGTTGAAGCCATAAGTGAGATGGGTCTTTGAAAGTGGCCATTTTTGGGAAACCATGTGGCCATGTTTCATTTTTGTATGTGACATTAACTGATTTGTACCATTGATAATATCAGGTACTCCACATCTTGGGAGCATCATTTCTTTGACGGTCTCAAAGTCTAGACTTCCAGTGACCTTCAAATGATAATTTTCTTGGTACATCTTGACTGCCGACTCTAAAAGGTCATCGAATTCATCATCTTCATCTACATAATTTAAGTACCCAAACTTTTGGAGGTAGAGTTTGAGCTGATTTAGGCCTCTCACCGTCTGCTCCTTGTGGTATCCCTCCAAGTGATGGAGGAAATTGAACCCTTGCTGGTTAGGGCTTGAATCTTTTGATTGAACAGTTGGAGGTTTCATGAGAGTTACGAGCACAAGGATAGCTCCTAAAGGAAGACAGAATTTAAAAGCCATTGCGTGAGGCTTTTTCTTTGTTGCAAACAAATAAAAAATAGTTTGACATTGCATTTGATTGAAAATATGTTTCTAATTATCACCCTCTCTTTTTGTAAATGGGTTTGTGGAGAAAAAAGATTAGAGAAGGAATTTTTGTTCTGTTTCTGTTTCTGTTAGAGCAAGTTATAGATTATTTATAGATAGCTGATCATGTTAGGAGTTGCATGTAGAATTTGGTCATTCTAATGTTATGCATTCAAAAACAAATATATATACTTACCCAAAAAAAAAAACAAGTATATATATATATATTTGCATAACAATAAAACACAAATAATAATTTCACTCAGGAGAGACAAGAGGGTGGGTAACACGTGGTCCTCACCTCTTGTCTCACAATGTGGAGTAATAATTTTGTTGGCCCAATAACCTATCTTACTTGTGTTTTAATCTAACAATAAAGAATTATGTGCTTACATTGTCAGAAAAATAGGAATTATGAGTACTTTCCTAAATTTTTTTTTATTAAATACGTAATATTATTGTTTGTACATAAACTTTGGAAGTTCAGATAATACAAAAACATGCACTTGGAATGAATCCAACCGGGTGGGGGAGTTTGAGGGGTTGTGTTGATCGATCAGCATTGTCAATTTGTGTTTTAGACTTGTCCAAAACCGTGTGTTCTAATCCATCACAAAGGTGTGAAAATAAAGTTCACCTTCTCATTGGTCCAAAGTAGTAATATTCATAAGTTTGGGTAGGGAAGATCAGTTGTACACTTTTTGAATAGAATTTATAATTTTAGATTAATCATAACATGTGCGTGTATGGACAAAACCATTTCAACTAATACAGTTCATATCACGATTTATTAGCTCACTTGGTATCTCCCAATTCAATTTGCAAGCAGAAGCAATTGTTAAGGGGAATATGTAAATCCCATCCACGGGATGTGTTTTCAATCAATGTTTTCTATCACGTATTTCTTTTCCCCACTTGCTTTTTTGCATTTTTATTTTGTTCGGTATTTGTCAAAATTCATGCAAGCCAGTTTGTTGGTAGTGTGTATCTTGATAAATATTGAACACTAATATCTCGATCTCAAATCTTAACTATTTTTCAAAAAAGAATATTTTTGATATTTTACAGTTCTGCCCTGTTGCTCCAATACTAATGGATTTATAGTTAAAATGCTGCATCTTTCTATGTTATATTATATTGTTACACTCTTAGATCACAATGGAAGCGCAGCAACCGGGGATGTTTAGTAAGACTAATAAAAAATAAGGCTTTTACAAAAATAAAAATCACAAAGACTAACATTCTTAACAATGGAGCCCTATAAAGGTTGAGCTAACTTATATGAAAGTTAAACGAACTTTATAAAATGACCTAGGAATGATGGTGCAAAAATTTGGACCAAACTCTCGTACCTGAAATTGCTTAATCTATATCAGAAGGCTAGCACCTACGATTTTCTTTTCCCAAGTATTGTATATGGTCACTTCAGGGTAGTGCCTTTCTTGACTAGCACCTATGATTTTCTAGAGATCATCTGATCATGTGCATTAGGATGATGATACATTGAGGAGGAAGTGCAGGATTAGGAGGTGAATGGTGTAGTGGAGTTGCTAGAAGTGCTCTATGTATGGAGCAGTCTTTCCAAAGATAGAGAGGGATGACTTCAGAGGGAATTGTGGGAAAACAGGGCAATTCAAAGAAAATACATGTTAGAAAGACGTGGTAGGTGCTCCATAGTAATCTTTCCCTTCCATTTGGAGCATCAAAAGCACATTCATAGGTGGCGTTCTTCGTTTGATCAGCAGCACTGAGAAAATCTTGACACTAGATAGTTTGGAGTAGAGAGGGAAGTCTCCCCAACTGGCCTTACGTGTGCAAATATGTGGTGGAATCGGTAGATTTTCATTATTTGTATGTAGCTAGGAAGCTTGGGATACATTGACTAGACCATTGAATTTGATGTGGGTTCTCCTACGTTACACGGACTCATCGTTTTCTGGCCAATACTGGTGTCGACACAACACGACACCGACATGGGTGCGAAATCCATCTTGGACACAGCACTTTGCAAAAGGATACGGCAGATCAAGGAAGACAAACCAGTGATTGGGTAGATCGACCAAGAAAAACAGAGATGGGGGACGATTCAGGAACAATAGATGTCGAATCACATTGGTCGTAGTCTTTCAATCACCCAAGAGAGAGAGAGAGAGAGAGAGAGAGAGAGAGGAGTCCTTGCCGAAGGAGAGAGAGGACTTCTCCAGTCAAAATTGTATCTCTTCTTACGTGGTAGATTCTTCTCTTATCTTCTTTTTCTTTTTCTTTTTCTTTTTCCTTTTACTTTTGATTTAACTTTTGTTTTAATCAACAACTAAAAAGAATAATCATAATGGGCCAGCCTACACTTCTAAAAGAATGATAACAGGCCTGCCCAAACTTTATCACTGTTTGGGACACAATACTTTACAGTTACAATATTAATTGGGTTAACATTTCACTCTGCATGTTATTAAACTCTAATCCAACTAATTTCAGCATGTCCAAACCAAAATTCTGCAGCAAAATAAAAATAAAAATAAAAATTTCAGATTTAGCACCTAAAAAAATAGTATAAAAAAAGAAAAAAAAAAACATAGTAGGATTAGACCTCTGCTAATTTTTTTCAATACTTTTTACCGTATCCACGTGCCCGTATCTAATTTTTAGGTACATTTTAGCCGAGTCCATGTATCCTTTATTTAGAGATTTGATGTGTCCAACTCTTAGATACACACCCGCACCCGAGTTCATGTAACATAGGGGTTCTCCCGAAATTAGCACTAGGTGTTCTTTCTGGGTAGGAAGAGTAAAGTGCGGGTTTTGGCCCCTCGTCTGTTTTGGTGTATACAGATGGAAGAAATAGGACGTCCCTTGCTAATGTAGAGGAATAGCAGCATGCATTGGCAAGTGATTGTTTTAGCCCTTTTATTTGCTTGGGTCTTGGAGAAGTGAACACTTCTATTGAGGTTTTTTTATGGGTTTTGTAGCTAATATGAATAACATGGCATAGGGTTTTGATTCTGCAGGCTACCCATGTACTAGATGAATCACAAGTCTCAACCCCCTACCCGGTTCATGCCTTTTCAATTAATACATTATTTATCAAAAATCAAGAAGTCTTCTTTCTTGGGTAGACAACTCAGACTAGCAGTCTTGTATTGTGGATGATGAATCAACAAACCAAGGGCTAAAGCCATCCTACCAGATATTTATCCCTCCCAAACACCAAAGAAGTAATAGAAAGAAGAAAAAAAAAGGGCAACCTAACATGTTAGTAAAGGCATCCCTAGATTTTCATTCCACAAAAAAAAAAAGTTCACTATAGGTATCGACCTGTTGTTTATGCGTGTACGGTTAACATCCACAGACCACCGTGCTCACCATTTGACACAATCAATGCCACAACTATTACTTTCTCATCGTCCCAAATGAGGTGGAATTGCAAAGAAACACTACAGATAATAGAAGAGCGAACAAATACTTAATTTTTGTGCATATTCACTTTACACTATCTTTTTTGTTGTCCATGATATTTCTTCTTTTTTTGCAATGACTTGCTACTCTAGAATGATTGTCAAGGGACAATGAAGAAGAAAAGGCTACTCTAGAATTGTTGATGTACGAGCACATAATAATCTTCTCATAAAATCCTTTTGATCAAGTTTGTACTCCTTCAAACGTCATCGCTTTACTACCTGAAAATACAAACGTGAGCTAGCCGACGGAGGTGTGCCGGAAACCTCTTCGATGCCTAAGTTAGCGAATAGACAATAAACACAAAAGCTCCGTGTAATTAAGAGTCGAATTGCAATACTTGTGCATAGGTCCTGTCATGAGCTTTTATAGATTCCGTTTGGCACAATCCTAGTAGGACTCTAACTCTCCTTAGCAGAGTCCTCCTAAGAATTACATATCTAGGATAATGCTTATCCTTGAAACACCTTTCTCACTGGAAGCCAAGTGAGACTCTGCTCGGCTGACTGTACTTAAATAGAGCTACCTTGTGCTTCTACTCCCTTTACCGAGCTGTGCAACCCCAACAGTTTATGCGTTTATCCAGCTAGGCTACCCCTAGCTCGGCCATAGTACCAATCCGGTTTGTGCTGCAAGCTACACACAGATAGCTAGGCCCAAAATCTGTAACTGAGCTATTCCCAGCTCGGCCCAACACACGGCCCGTCCTAAGAAGACATCCTCACCTAGCTTGGCCCAATTTATCCGCAAATTACCCTCTTAATTGATTATACAAGTTTGAAGTAATGTTCTATCTCAACTGTTTTAATCTCCTTATCCTTTCCATGTATCTATGTGTTAACAGTGATCTCTCTATGGATATCACCAACAACTGTGTTCGAATCCAGCATAAAATTATAAAAAAGAAAGATCAAAAAAAAAAAAATACGCAGGATGCTCATGTAAGTTTCTGAATGTTTATGTATATTCAACTTGTTTGTTTACAAAGAGTTCATTAGTTTATATAGCCCTAAATCTATGACTGAAAAAGGAAATATAACAATCTTGCCTAATACGTGCCTAATTCCTAATATACACAATGCCATATATACACAATATATTCTCACACCCCCGCTCAAACTCAAGGTGTTTTAGCAGAAAACACTAAGAGTTTGCTAAGAAAAAACTGAAACTAAGCAGTAATATGAGTCTTAGTGAAGAAGTTCGCAAGTTGCAAAGTCAAGGAGACAAAAGGAAACGAGATGAGCCAGACTGCAGATGCTGTCAGACAAAGTGACAATTAATCTCAATGTGTTTTGTATGTTCATGAAAGACAATATTGTGGGCAATCTGAATAGCACTGCGGTTGTCACAATAGAGAGAGGTCGGAGAAGACTGAGGGGCACCCAAGTCAGAGAGAAGACAACGAAGCCAGACAACTTCAGCAGTAGCACGAGCCATTGCACGATACTTAGTTTCGGCAGTAGAGCGAGCAATAACAGTTTGTTTCTTACTTTTC